CAACTAAATAGCCCTAAAATTGTGACTTAAGCATTTTTAATAGGCCGTTCAATCATTTGCATACAACAACCGAGTCTTATCCAATTTAATTAATTCGAGTATATAGATCAATTTTCACAATCTTGAACCATTGGCAAACATTATTTAATTTGAGTTTAATCTTGATTAATCATACAAATAAGCATATAGTTTATGCGAATGAGTTGTTGCGGTTGGAAGAAGTTGTATGGCATTGGTAGTTCACTTTCTCCACCAATGTTACCACTCTCACCCTTTCGTCCTCTCTCTTCTTCTCTTCCATTCTCTTCCAATTCCTACCTTTCTTCTTCTTCTTCCTCCATTGCCCAACTAGTACAAGACCAACAACCACCAAAACCACAGCTACGAAGTCCTCAACTCGTAGCATTGGAATACGCTGACCTCAATCTCTCCAACGATTTGGTTTGTATTTTCATTTTTACTTGCAATTATCACTTCAAATTCAAACGGATAATATCCATTTGTTTTATCTCCAATTTCAGGAACTAGGTCATGTCAGAATCAGGCAACATGTTAATCCCCTCAGTTCTTCTTTTGCTGTACGTTCCTAGAGTTGAACATGATTTCTTGTTCATATTTATTTCTAGAGTTGAAACATGATTTTGGTGAGAATTAAGAAGGACGGACATACACAACACTGAAAAATGATTTAATTGAACGTGTCAGTGTTGTGTCTGATGTCTATGTCCGACACTGAAATGAGACACACTTTTTTCAGAGGTATCGGTCTACAGGGGAGTTGTGTACGCCAATACCCTTATTGTGAAACCGGACATAATATGCATTTGGTTCAGTGAATCCTCTGTCTTTCATTGTTGATGAAAGGGGCTTTTTCTTTAGTCTAATGATTTTTTTTGTTTTTCTTGATTTGATAGACTCCTGCACAAGTACCAGACTGGAACCAGGTCTTTGCAGACCCTGCATTGCCACTCATGGTAGATATTGGATGTGGTAATCTGAATTTCATTCATAAATATACGCATTTGTCCTTCATGGTTGAATTTAGCATGTATGTTATTGATTGGCATTGGTTTGGACATCATGTTTGTGGAAGTTGATAATTTACGTGATATATTTTTGGTTTGATTTCACCCTTTCTGATTTATTGAGCCATCATCTTCGCGAAGTCTTTGAACTTAACAGCAGGATGCCATTAATGAGTAGGTGTGTTGTCAAATAGTAGCTATAGCAGTGCAATAATGTAGCAAAACTTAAACAAATTTCTAGTGTTTCATGGTAGTACAATATTTTGTACAAAGTGTTGTCAAATAGCAATATATTGCGGCATTATAGTGCTTTAGGTTACAAAATTTGAACACGATGCTATTTTCAGCAATCCGCAATTGACAATATTGTGAGTAGGACAATCAAATAATCATCCCTACAAAACCGGTTGGTAGAGTGAGGATTACCCCCACTTATAACCCATGTTCATGTCATATATTGTCCAATGTGAGACTCTTAACACATCCGCTCACGCCCAGGACTGGACATCTGGAGCGTGGAAATAAATGGTGGGTGGCTCGATAGCGGAAACCTGATAGCAGGTGGTCCACCGGATCTTAAACCAAACTCTGATACCATGTTAAGAAATGCGGTTGGTCCTAACTCAACCCTACAAAACCGGTTGGTAGAGTGAGGATTACCTCCACTTATAACACATGTTCATGCCATATATTGTCCGATGTGAGACTCTTAACAATTACATGATAAACACCTCACGTACTTGTTAAACCATATCTGTTGTTGGAAATAATGTCAGGCAGTGGCAGGTTTCTTATGTGGCTTGCAAAAAGAACTAAAGTGAGAAATTATTTGGGATTGGAAATACGGCAAAGAGTAAGGAAACCTATTCTTTCAATCCCTTTTTGTTTTGAACGCCCTTGATGATTACTCCCTTCCCTTCCAGTAAATTTCAGTTTCTTATCTTGTTACGGCACATTCAACTTAGAATAGTGGCGATATCATATTGTATGATTGTGTATAATTCTGTTTCATGTGCAGATGGTCAAGCGTGCTGAGGTATGGGTAAAAGACCTGGCTCTAGATAACATGTACTATTGATCCTAAGCTTTATTTTGATTGCGAATTAAAATATATAAGCACATTATTTTTACAACGCTGCAATATGACGGTTCTTTTTACACTAAATTGTAGACATTTCTTGTTTGCAAATGCCCCAATTTCTTTCAAGCAGTTGGTAGAATCATATCCCGGACCTTTGCAGTTAGTTTCAATTTTGGTGAGTCTTTTTAAAAGCACTGATAAGAAAAATTGGGCGCCTCTAGCTAATAGCTTGTTGGCTAACATTGTTGTTCTTTGAGGTTTTACATCCAAAGGCCTTTTATTATTGTTAAATGATGTCGCCCAATGCATGCAGTGTCCAAATTTGTCCCTAATAGTTAGCTCGGTTGTTGTGCTAATGGACACCAATGGAGTTTTAGAGTTTCAACCTTAAAACTAACATGATCAGTAACTTACTACTAACATTTCTATATCCAAAACAATGCAGTGTCCAGACCCTCATTTCAAGAAAAAATATCATAAAAGAAGAGTTCTGCAGAAGCCTTTGGTTGGTGCTATTGTAGACAATTTAACTCCAGGAGGACAGGTATATTTCCTGCATGCTCTAATATATTTATACTTCTCCTTTGATCGTTCATCATTATGGAAATTCCAATTTACCTTGTACACAATTCGTAAAATGAACTCCATCAAGAAAACCAGAATGATGGTGGGGATTAAGTGATTAGACCGTGTGGGTATTCAACATTTTTTTTTATTGATGACGGAAAACTTCTGAAGGGAATGAAGAAACGACGTTGTGTTTATGACAGGTGTTCATACAGTCTGATGTGTTGGAAGTGGCACTTGACATGAAAAACCAGTTTGATGAAGTTGATGCACTTAATGACATAGATGCTTTGAACCCTGCTATATTGTGTGACAGTGAAGGATGGTTATTAAGCAACCCTATGGGTATTAGGACTGAGAGAGAGATTCATGCAGAATTCGAAGGAGCAAAAATTTATCGAAGGTTGTACGAGAAGAAGCAGATATGATTGACTTGTCAAGCTTTAGTGCAATTCACCGACTCTGATGCATCTAAATTCAAACCTTAGCAGGACACTTGGAGTTTTGTTGTGTGCGTTGTGTTCTTGCAATTTATATGCTCAACAAACTTCAACCACAGGAGAAAAGTATACACATGCTCTTAGAATGCTTACCAGTATTTTTTTTCTCTAGATATTAATTTATCTCATTTTTCTTACAGTGGATTCTGTATTTGAATATAATTTGTAGGTGTTATTGAGAAGTTAGATGAATAAGTTTATGGAAAAGATTGTGTAAAACAATTTGATTTTTTTTTTTCTGCTTTAATGATAATTCCTATGAAGCTCTTTCAACAATCAAACAAAAGGCAATATAGATTCTTCTAGTAAGGTTTCGGCCCAAATACCAAAAGAATTTGGATTTGAATTTTGCTCTGGAGATGTGAGGACCTCGTTGATAGATAATAAGTAAGTATTTTTATACATACTTTGAATCTTGAGACTTCCCCTAACCCTAACTCAGCAACATCTAATTAATCACACATAGAACTTTTTATGTGATTAATTCAGTTGAGTAGATGATTAGCTTAATTTACAGTCAAAATTGGAATTAATTCAATTATATGATTAATTATAATTTTGATGGGATTTAAATTAACATTCATTCGATTGAATTAATCATATTCATGCAAGTGATTAATTCGGCGTCGGTGTTGCGTATACAAAAAATGGGTGTGCAGGAATTTTTTTATTTGTTTCTTAATTAACTTTTTTCTATCATATCAATTATAATTATTCTAATTCATATCTTCCACTCACTTAGCGTGTGAAATGAGAATAGATCCTCTATACATTAACAAACAGCAGAATATAATAGTCTATGTTTCCAATGGAAGAACAAATATGCTAACAATTATGCTTGCAAAATATATATATATATATATATATATATATATATATATATATATATATATATATATATATATATATATATATATATATATATATATATATATATATATATATATATATATAGACATGGAGATATATTCCATATTGCGTAGAAACAACGTGTGCTTTTTGAAAATAGAGAAATTATAAGTATAAGAATAGGTGAAGTTTCACTTCCTTTAACTTTTTGTGGCACCAACGGGAATTCACTTCTGTCACCTTTGGATGATTTTATAGAGAGCATTTGCAGCTTTCGATTGAGTAAGCGCCAAGCAAGAGTTATTACTACTTTTTTCTTTTTGCATGTTACTAACAAAATCCTGTATGTTGCAACTTTCTTGATTGGAAATTTGTCTTGAAATATTATAATTTCTTGCTAAATATCAATATATTTTGCATGGTTTTGGATTCCACTGATTATTGTCTCTGATCTCTATGTTATTTTTGTACAATTCTTCCCTACCCTTTGGCTTGATCATGATAAAAAAAACAAGGATTTGTTCAAATTGTTTCTCTACTGCATACTTTGATTGATTCTGATTGTAATGATGAAACCACTTTTAAGGTGTTTTCTAGATATTGAAATCATAGCAATATCTGTTTCCTTTATTGATTCAATCCTTTACTGTTGCTTATGAGAATGAACTTTTGAGTTAGTTCTATTGGCATAAACACCAATTTAGACTCTCTTCATTGACACAAATACTAGATACGACACTAACACGTTGACATCAATGATAATTAAAAAATAAATAAATTGAACGTAATCACATGTATCAGTGTCATGTTGGTGTTGGACACTGACACATGTCAGACACCAGTGTCAGACACCAGACACGTTTTATTTCAGAGGTGATGTGCTACCGTCTCTAAATGGCTTAAATTTTTGTTATAGAAATATGATATATGATGTACTAATATTTTTGCAAATTTCAAACTATTTTAAGGTGAATCAAGATGAGCAATGATAGAAACAATCAAGAGTCTACTGAGAGAGGTTTGTTTTCACATATAACAGGCTATCAAACAGCACCATCCTATCCTCCACCGCATGGTTCCTATTCCTGTCCACCTCAAGGGGGCTATTATCCACCACAACCAGCATATCCACCACAAGGAAGCTACTATCCTCCACAATACCCTCCCCATGCAGCAGTAGGGTATCCACCTTCTGGTTATCCTCATTCAGGTTATCATCAACCATCTTATCATGCTCCACACGCGTATCCGTCTGCGTATCCTTCAGGTACACTTGATCCGTTGATCGTCCCAATTTGTTATCAAAAATAACCATATCAGTATGCATATAAACAACTTTAAGATTTACAACATGTTGGTTAATTTATAGGACGTGGAGCCGGTATAGGATTGTTCGCAGGTTTGGCGACTGCATATGGTGCTCACCATATGTCATATGGACATGGAGGTTATCATCATGGTTATGGACATGGGAAGTACAAACATGGAAAATTTGGCAAACATGGGAAGTATGGTAGGCATGGTTTTGGCAAGTTTAAGCATGGAAAATTTGGCAAGCGATGGAAGTGATGCAGAAGACAATATATATAATTCAATATGCAACTTTGAGCATGATCATGAAGGCTGAACTTTTATATGAATAATGTATGCTAATTGCTATTAGTAACATTCTGAATTTCAATTTGATGTTTGCAATAAATAATTTGTGCTCATTTGGGATTACAACCTTTTGTGTAAATTTATGTTAATGTTGTATGCATGTATTTGGGTTATCATACTTGAGCTCTGAAAACAACTTATAAACTTATTTTAGTGTTTAATAGAAATATTAAACTGTAATTTATGTTAATTAATCTAAGCTTCCAACATTTTTTTTTCAATATTCAAATATATTATATATAAAATATACTTTTACAAAATTGTTTGATATTAAAAGGGAACTAATATTTGAAGTTCTCGAAGGAAGGCTATGGAGGCTATAGGCTATTAGTAATATCAAACACAACCTGTCTTATAGTTCAAAGGTTAAAATCTTTTGTATATAGAGAGGTGAAGGAAGTAGTAAATAGTAATGCTTCTTTTGCTCATGAATCATCATACATAGCTGATTTTTTATTATGTTTTTAATAGAGCTTATCCATATTTCATGTTTATATGGAGATTTTATCTTTTAAAGTTCTGGATTATGCGGATCTTCTCAAACACTTTTAGAAAGTCTTCGATAAATAGGATCAAAACTCTCATACAATTTTATGGGAAGAGACGGTATTTATGAGAGGATTTAACTTGACACCCTCACATTTGTACCTGATATCTTTCATAGTGCAAAATTTTATAATTGTCTCTGACAAAAATATGAAACACATTTTCGTACAACATTTTTGGTAGACGAATTGAAATTTCTAGTACAAATTAAATTTTTGGTAGTGAATTTATAATTTCATGTCTACTAGAATTTCTTAAATTTTCGAAAATTTGTAATATTATTGAAAATGTTAAAAGTACCATGTTATACTGGAAATTTCAACTAAAGTAAAATTTTTGGTAGTTTAATTGGTTTGAAATACTACACGGTCAGGATTTTGCCAACAATTTTGGACGACTGTGATTGGATCGACAATTTTGTGTGCTCCAAAATAAATGCAAAGTTGTATAAATAAGGGTCACCTGTTGCTTGATAGAAACATCTCAAAATGTCTCTTTCTCAATTTTTGATTAAGGCAGGAGTGTACATCAACGAAACTTCACCTATCGTAGAGTTCTGCCTTCCGGATGGTGTCACATTTCTCGCCGCCTTGACATTCAAGTTAAATGAATTGTTACCTGATACCGATAACAAAAAGGTATTTGATGTCTTTTCTCAAGGTTATGAACTCTGAACATATGATTTATCACTTATATGCAAAGACAATGTTCTAAAATACTAAAATTGGATAAATAGCTCTCCATTGTACTAGTCAAATGTCATATCAATAGTACTTCTTCAAATGGATATATAAGATTTTCTACCTACTACCCAAGATTTACGGTTGATCCTACCTACAACAACATTAGGAAGCTCCAATTTTATCCTCCAACAAATCTATTTTTTCCTTATAAAGAGGTCAAAGGATTTATGTGAGGCAACCATGATGCATGACTAATAGAAAAGCTCTTACGCAGAAACTTCAAAGATGAAGAAAATTCATTAAAGAAAATCATCATCGAGAAAGAAAAAGAATGAAGAAACATTGTGTTTTATTTCAAATATTCTCTAGAGTAAGAGTTCGTGTAATACCTATGTTGGAGATAATTAAATTCATTTTCTCCTCTTAGTGGTAGCTGAGAAAAATACCTTTGATTTAGCAACATTCACTTTAAGGCCAGAAAACATGGAAAAACGATTCAAGATATCAGAAATGATCTCTGCCTGGAAATTAGGAACCTTCGCAAAAGAAGAACATCATCTATAAAAAATAAATGGGATAAAGGGGGTTCATTACGAGATAACATGTCAGGTTTTCAATGGCCTTCATCGACTTCCCTAATGATTTTCCGCAACAAGAATTTTGTGCAAATTAACAAAGAGATTGGGTGAAAGGAGGTCACCTTGTCGTAATCATCTAGACAGAATAAAATTTGGTATCGTCTCCCATTCCAAAGAATAAACATGGAGGAACCAGTTATGCAATGCATAATCAACTTTATAGTAATGGGTGGAAACCCATTTTGCTTCAAACAAAATTCTAAGAAATCTCAATTAACATGATCGTAGGCCTTTTCAAGATCTATTTTGAACACCATGTTATCTTTTTTGTCTTTTCAGATTTATACATAGAATGAATTGTTTATTTGAGGATAATGACAGTATCAGTTGTCCCTTTACCAGGCAAAAAACTACTCTGGAATGATCAAACTATCGGATTTAGATAAGGACGCAACCTGTTAACCATAATCTTCGTACTAATCTTGTAAATAGTGTTACACAAGCTAATAGGCTTGAATTCCTTAAATTTTTATGGATTGTCTACCTTAGGAATTAAGGCAATAAGAGTCTTAAAAATAGAAGAGTGAAAGTTGTCTGCCACAAAAACATCTGATATAAGTTGGATAACGTCATCTCTAACTATATGTTAAAATTGTTTAAAGAAAATACTCTAGAATTCATTGGGGTCAGGCACCTTGAAATGGTGCATTTGATTCAATGCATAAGTTACTTCTTCCCTTGTCACTTGCTGGGTCAAAGAGTGTTGGGCTTCAGTAATGATCGGAGTCATAGTTGATTTACCCATGCTAGCGAGGAGTATAAGAGATATAGGACAGAAAAGACATTTAAAGAAAACCAATGTTTCTTCTCTGAGAATAGTGTCATCATTACACCAAACACCATTGGGAAGATGAAAGCCTTGGACTTTATATGTCTTCTGACTGATTATCGTCTTGGTATGAAACTTTTGGTCTTACGATCTCCTAATTTAATCCAATCATCTCTATAATTTTGATACCAATGAATCTCTTCTTGCACAAGAATCTCATCATACTCCTGTTGAAGCCCTCAGTTGGAGATAAACTAGTCGTGTCGAATCTATTCTCTCCAAAGAGCGTTGGATACTCCCGAGTCTTTTTTCAATGTTATGTTTTAGTTTGTTGATATTTCCAAAAGTTTCCTTATTAAAAAGAATAGAATCATGCTGCACATTTTGGAGACAAGTTACAATGTCATATGGGAATTTCCCCCTAAACAATCTAGACTATATTTGAGTATTTTAGGTGAGTGATTCAAGTTGCGTCCTCAAACCTAAAAGGACCCAACCCATAGTCTTGACAATACTAAAAAAGTCGTGTATTTCTAAATTTTAATATTCTTTTACTTAAAACAAATATTACACTAATATATTTTCCATCAACCACGAGATTCTAGGATTCTTTAATTCTTCCTTAAATTGATTCTCTTAAATAAACTATAGTTAACAAAAGCCACCAATATATATGATAAAAAAACTAATGTTAAATCATATAAGGTTTAATATTTTTATTGGTTAATCTCGAGATTCATTTTGGTCCCTTAATTTAAAAAAAGATCTATAATAATTCTTTAACTCTTCAAAACATATCGTGTTAGTCTTTTTTATTTAATTAACGATTAATTTTTAAATTTTTCTGTCATTAATTAAACAAGTGGTATCAGAGTTATGTTCGACTTAGTAGAAGATTGAAAGTTAGATTGAATTGAATTTTATTATAAAATGTGGAGCCTCACATTTGTGATACATAAAAATTATTGGGTGCTAGTTTGAAAGACTAATTAACTCTCACATTATTTTTGAATAAATAAAATATTATATTTATAAGAGATAACTCATGTATTTAATGTTTTAAAATTTTAAATAGCAATGTGACATCTTTCTCTCTTATAATATAGTAAACATTAAGTCGTCTGTTTGTACTTTGTTCTCCATAAAACCATTATACAAAATTTATGATAAACCATTATATCATAATTATCTAAGGTTTTTATTGTATTTTAAATATTAGAACAAAATATGCATGAGTTGTATTGTATGAATAGGTATAGAGTTGTAAAAAGCGCTTATTAATTAGGATATATAACTTTAAGGAGTATGCATAAAAAGGGAGCATTACATGATATGTTTCTTAATGTGAAAGGAACACACATTATCTTTTCATCAAACAGTCATAGTCTCAATACAAAGAATACGATAATAAAAAACTTGATTATTAACATATAATCGCGAATCTCTTCCCAACTACCTCTATAAAATTAACCCTTCAATTTGGTTTCACATTCAAACAAATCCTACATGTATGAAGGTTAAAAAAATCACTTAACCTACAAAATTAAATTGAAGTTAAAATTAACAGATCATTATATTTGTTTAGTAAATCAAATATGCGCATAAAATTATAGAACCAAATTCAAATTAAAACTAAAAATAAATTTAAAATTATCAATTGAATTTTTTATTTAAAATATAATGATTTGATTATTTAAGTTATAATTCATTTAAAAAAACAATTTTATTTAACATATAGTATATAGTTAGTCGGCTTTAATTAAAATGTAATAAAAAAATGAGGTTGTATGGAGTGGAAAAGGATGAGGAAAGGGATGAGGTCATGTGATGCACATGTATGTGATAGCAATTGCAAACTTGTTCTGGTTACAGCTGTATTCACAACATTCTTTCTTACTCACTAATATTACTACTATTTTTCTTTATTCTAATTCCAACTACTAATTATTTCAATTCACTATACTTTTTTCAGATAATCTTTTTTATATTCATATTCTTACTTTCTCTCTTCATACATTACATACACCTTCTATACTCTTGTTATTTATATGCCGGTGCTATTATTTTCTTTTTCCTAATGACAAGTGACAGCTGTTTTCTTTATTTTTTTCAAATGTTGAGTTAATAAGAAAATAAAATTTTGGAATTCTTTAACACATGTTGAAATTTTTAAAGAAAATTAGAACAATAAAAATATTCAGTATTGTTTGACCAAATAAAGAAAGGTGTACACATATAAAAGATGATCATCTTTAGAAAATAGACATTAATTAA